TGTTGGTGCTCAAAGTTTACCAACAAAAAAACAACACATTTACACTAACCTATAAAACCAGGCTACGCAAAACCCACCGACCTACCATGTCCACCTCCACCTCACAGATCCCACCGTCATCCTCATAGTCCAGGAAAACCCAGGGTTTCTGCTGCTGATGCTGCAGCCCAGCCATGGCCATGGTCACCCTTGGATATTGCCTGGAATTTCACTAGAGTCTGATTCTGCCGTGACTCAAACTCTGAAACCTAATTCTGAGGGTCTGCAGATCCAGTAGAACCCGGGGTGAGACATGCGGAGGTGAGGAAATGCGTCCTAAACTTCTGCTTGACTCTCAATGACGCTTCATCTCAGCCTCCTGGCTCTGATCCTGTCCTGTTCTACAGTCGTTTCATGACCTCTCACAATCCCAATGACCAGATAATCCCTCCTCAGGTCAGACTGAAATTAGCCTCTCTCTGTATTTAACCTCAGAGACGTGCCAGTGAAAGGAGTCTTTTGAACGTCACACACCGGCCATTGACTGGAGCTGAGAGGGAATTAACCGTCCTACGTCATTTAACTATCACTGTTTATAAGGAGGATCAGCCAAGAGAATTATATTTACAATTAATGTTTTGGGCTGACAAAGACTCAGAGAGGATAATGTCACTTTTGATAAAAACATTTTTTTGCTCAGGAAGTAGAATTTGATGTCAGTTTGTTGGTAATTCTATAGAAAGGTTTTTGGTAGATCTATTTTGTTTTTACAATAAATGCAATGAGATAGTTGCAGGAAAAAGCAAACCTATTTTAATCTCTCTTATCTCACTGTTTCTCTAAGAACTTCTGTGGAAATTCAGTGTAATGTGTTTGACAGAGAGCTGCAGAGGTTTGATGTCCACCAAATGTACATTAGCTGACCCACAAACAACACCGTAAACACATAATCTCAGGGATTAAATGTAACAAATTATCTTTTATGTGCCTCACTATGTGTAAATATATATTTTTTTATTGAGATCCTTCTCGAAGTGTCCTCTGAGATCACATGCACACACAGACACACGCACACACACTGGTACGTACTGTGCTGTGCTTCCAATAGCGGATAATCTCCTGCAGGTTAGTGGCTGGATTAAACAGGAAGTGATCCCTCCATTCATTCCAGTCCACAGTCATGGTCCCGTCCGCATCAATACTGTAAAAAAAATGGCACTGGATGAGAAAAGGAAATATTATTTCTAATTATTTCTTAGTGATCAGGCTAAAAGGTCTTCAACAGGGTGCCTGTGATCCCTGATGGTCTATTGAGGTACTGCAAGGGGGAGGTCATGGCATGGATTTTGATTTTTTTCATTTCATCAGAAGACACGAGATCAGAAGACAGTTTGGTTGTTGGACATGAAATGCTACTGCATGCTACTTAAAATAAAAAAAAATAAAAATAAACAAAATATACAAAAAAATGTTTTACTATGTAGAAATATCCCTAAGAAATAATTAGAGTATAAAAATACATGTGTGTCATCTGCCCTCATTTGTTGCCACCTTCCTTCCTGCACCTCAGCTCAGCAGTGACACACTAATAAAAACCACACTGCTTGCAAAAAAAAAAGAAAAATCTCTGTCTGACTCATTGTCATTTTCAGTGTCATGAAAATCACTTCTTATTCTGAGGGTTTTACTTCCTTTTGTGTTCCTGTGCTATAAATGTGGTTACGACAAATACGCAACAAACATTGTAGCAACCACCAGGACCAACACTTTGACGATGATAACTGGGTAAATGTTAGTTAACACTTTATTGAATTGCTGGACACTCATTCTTCCTATGAACAAACCACAGCAAAAAATAAAACAAATTAACAAAAATAACACCATAGTAGTCCAGATGAAATACCTTTTAAGAATCTTTTCTGCGTCATCCTTGCTGATGTCCATTCCCAGATCAGCCAAAGACTGCTTTATCTCCCCGATGTCTATTCGACCTGTTTAAAAATAAAAAAAGGGAAAAAAAACATCAATTTAATCAGAACCTCTGAAGAAACAAAAAGAAGATGAAAACGTAAATGTGACTAAACAGCACACCGTCGTTGTTTTTGTCCAAGCTCTTGAAGGTCAGTCGTAACTTCATCTCGTGTTCCTTCAGGTACTTGGTGAACTCGCTGAAGTCAAGTCCTTCGTCCTTGTCCGAGTCTCCAGAAGAAACTATTTTCTGAATGAGAATGAAAATATACAGTGTGGTCAAAAACTTGCTAATCTGCCATTAGCTGGTGCAGAGTTTCAACCTTGAGGTTTTGTGGAATTCAAATGGGGTCATGGAAAATGGTGAGTAATTGATTTTTTTTTTAAATTGCTGATAAAAACAAATTTTAACTAATAATAACTATTATTATTATTCTTTCTTTACTTTTTTTTAAAGAAGGACGTTTGACTGTTAATTAAACTGTCTCTCTGCAGTACATGAAGCAGCCACATGTTGTGTGTGTAGTCACTGTGAAAGTTCAGACAGTATGGACAAGATTGACAAGATGCTAAATTTTCCTTCAAGGAACAGTTGCACCAGTCTGTCTGCGCGTTTACAACGTCTTTATCAGAGATAGCTGTTATCTACTGTAACCCACTCACCTGCAGCAGTGACCTCCTCCCACCTCCCACCTCCACAGCCTTCTTAAAGACACAGTATCATACCCACTAATGAGATGGAGGAATGCAGAGTGATGTGGGACCTTCCACCCAGAGCCAAACACACCTACAAACTACTGTCTGAACTTTGAAATTGTTTGAGAAATCCAGTTGACACTTTACTCCACACAGTGTAAAATGATTGCATTACACCAGGATTGCTCAGTTCTGGTTCATATGATGGTGTATTTGGATAACAGCTTTACAAGAAACAGAAAGACTGTAACATAGACTTTTGCAAAAGGCAGTGGTTTGTGGAATCAGCTACCAAAATAAATTTCAAAATCATTTGAGACACGGGTCCCAGTCGCCTCTATGTTTATTTTATTAAAGTACATTTTATCCAGAACAACTTTAAAAATGATTCATTCATCTACTTTTTTAAAGATTAATCCTCCTTATAGCTACTGAAGGAACCGAAGTCACTTCCTGCAGTCATCTGTAGAGGGCGTGGTTTCACCCTGGACAGTTTCTAGGAACAAGCAACCACTCACACTCGCGTTCACAGCAATGGTCAGAAAGTTTTAATATTAGAAATAATATTAGAACTAAAAAGAATATTATGAAATATATTTGCACCTTTAAAGATAATTTACTATTTATTTTGGCTCTTAATATAAAATGTGCAATTGCCAAAGTTGCAAGTTTCAGTGCCATTTAGAGGAAAATTGACAAATAGACAAAACGTCACGTTTTAGGTGGAGTATGTTTACGGCTGTCATACTAGAAGTAGTCCGTTAATTATTGCGCAGTCCAGATATGAAATATGAAATAACTTTGTTTGTTATTGACTTCCATTTATGCAAACAATTGGCTAATCCAAAAGTACACTTCCGGTCTCCATTTAGGCTTTTTTTAAAGGATATACATCTTTGGACATGAGGCCTACTTAGTTAACATAGTTTGACAACCAACAGACCGGTTCCATTTTATACGTCACTCACCTGGGCTGCTCCTTTCCCGGTTTTGATGCCCATGGCAGCCAGGCCCGCCTTCAGCTCGGATACGTCCACTTTCCCATCTCTGTTGGTGTCCAGTTTCGCGAACAACTCTTCGTAGGAGCCGGATGCATCTGCTGCACAACGGCACTCCGAGAAAAACAGCTTTCGTACGACTTGGTACATGATTAATCGACGGCTGGGCTCCGTCGAAGCCTCCAAACTGCGGTGGTAACAGAAACACAGGCTGGTTCCTTAGGTTGGCACTTCTGGTTTGCTGCGGCTTCAGATGAGATCCGGACGATCACAAGAGAGGTTTTTGCAGAAAAGCTGGTAAATCCCGAGTAGGAAAAATGATCATAAGTGCCTGTTTGTCTGTTGGGGATCTAGAAAAAAAGCGATTATAGTAGGAGGAAAGAGATGAAGGGTGGAGAGAGTTTGCCTGAGACCTCCTCTTTGCTGCGCACACAAACACTCACACATGGACACACCCTTCAACTACAATAACACACAACTACTGCAGTTACTGCGTTTCATGACGTGTATTTACATTTATGGTCGTTTCGAATTGTTTGTTATTGACAATTGGCCTTGTTTGTTTCTTTTTTTAGTCGTGTTTTTAATAACATATATTCACATGGTGGTGGACGAGGCATTTTATTTTCATATACAGAACATTCATTCAAATATTACACATACAACATCCTCTATGACCTGCCCCCAGAGTGGAATTCCCGTATGTAAATTTAAAAGTAATTTGAGTATTCTGTTTTAGCTCAGTGACTCATACTCACAGGAATCTACCAGCTGCTCTGGTCAAAGCACATCCACAAAAATTTTAATTAACCGGGTTACTATTGTAGAGAAGAAGAGGAGACGAAGAGAGAGGGGGTTGGGGTTAACATTTGACAAAAAACTGCACTAATAACAATTCTAGCCTTGACGTACTATATATTTTTACATATTATATTATCTATATTATTTACACATTAATAGTAATAATACTGCTACTCCCAGTTGTCTTGTGGTGGAGACTACACTAAATCATTATAAAACCGGAGTCAAATTCCTTGAATGTGCACTCCTACCTTAATTATCAATATTGTTATGATCATTTATATTATTGTTGGTGTTGTTGCAGTAGTCAGTGGTAATCAGTAATAGTGGTAGATGTAGTAGTTTGGCGTTTGAAGCGGTACATAAAACTACAGTTTGTGTCTCTGGTCACGACATCTGGTTTCACTTTCCTCTCATTCCTCTGCTGCTGTTCTGCCAGCTGACCACCAGGTAGCGATAGAGGGAGAGGACGTGCTTCGTTGACGTGCATTTAAAATAACAGTTGACGCTAACTGCATCCGTTTCGCTCATTTGTGCTTCGGAATAAAATTGCAGTTTTGGGATTTATATCGCACACATTTTCAACTACTGTACTGGCAATTTTGACTACACATAATTTAGTTGCTGTACGTATCCATGGTGTATGTCAATATTGTAATACAATATGTTTGTATGTATGCAATACCTTCTGAGTGATTCAACTGTACTTGTAGTTAAAAGAAAATTTGAAAAGACAATTCTAGAAACAGCTAACAAGGACTCTTGAGAGGCATTTATTTATCTGTACCTTTCCCGTACTTCAAGTTCTATGATTAACATTCCACAGTTTGTGGTTACCCTGTGTTGTGTTACTGATGTTGCCTCCATTTACAGATATTAATAAAACAAGGTTCCTCCTACATACCTTCACTCTCATTGTGACTGTAGTTTGTTTTCAAAAGACACCCAAATTCCAGCATTGGGCAGATCGTTAAAAGGTGGCTGGTTTAAATGTTGGACATAATTTCATAACTATAATTACTCAAACTGCCCAAAATGGGGAAATGGTACCTTAGACCATTTCGATTATTATTTGGTATATTTTTGACTTTTTTTTCCTTTTTTCCTTTTAGTGCTATTATTATGTTAAATGCCTGAATATCTTCCTGGCTGGCGCTAAAGTACTACCACTAATATACTGTAAATCAGAGTAGTTGTGCCAGTAGTAGTATAAGTGATGCCAAGAGGCATTGATACCATAGAAATGACAGGTGGCCTTGAAAACCACTATTTCACAATAATAATTAAAACTAATGTCACGAAAACAAAACATCTACACGTATGTAAACAGTATCGTGACTTTTGTGGCTTTTTCACGTTTGACGAACAATGCATTTATTTTGAAAATCCAGAAAGGACGTCACGCTCGCTCGTCGCCTCCGTACTTGACTATTGTCGCCTCACCATCCTCCCACAACAAAACACTAAACATCACTGCTCCGTTCCTGGATCCACTACACGGTAACGGCTGTGATGAGAGCGGCGGCGGAGAGCGGAGCTCCTTCTCCCCAATACTAAGTCCGTGTATGGATTTAATGATGATGAAAAAAAAGAAATTCAAATTTAAGGTGGATTTCGAGCTGGATGAGCTCTCGTCGGTGCCTTTCGTCAACGGTGTGCTCTTCTGTAAAGTCAGGCTGCTGGACGGCGGCTTTACTGAGGAGTCTTCTCGGTGAGGAAGATGTTTGGATTGAATCTAGTCGATTAAATCAGACAAAAACGCTGATATTGTTCTCTGATAGGTCAGTCCAGTAGCTGTAGACAATGGTGTGTAATAACGTCAAGGCAGTGTAAACCAGCTAACGTCAGTCACGTCCGTCTCACTTGTCATTGTTGCTTGTATTCAATGTTACCTCTAACACAAGGCTTTTATCGACGTCGTCACCTTTAACTGCATGTCAGCTTCCGATGGAGAAAACGTTTCTGTACTTTGAATCAGTCGTTTTCTTTACGTTTAGGTTCTTTTACAGACGAGCCCTCTGGTGTGAATTATTTGCTGTGCATCCCATACAGCTGCTGCTCTGGAGATTAATCGACTATTAATTGATTGCTCCATAAACACCAAACATTTTGACAATGATTAACTGGGTTGCATTGTGATGATAAAAACCTCAATCGATTTTCCCTTCATTTATAATTACTTTTTCAGCTCCTAATACTTTTAGGTATTTGCTAATATAATGGAGCTGTACACAGTAAATGTTGATGTTCATGAATTAAATTATTTACTTTACTTTATTTACTTTTCTTTCTGCACTGGGTAAGACCAGGGATGGGCAAGGGATGGCTCACGGGCCAGAATGAGGTTCAAAATTTGACTGGTGGGCTGGTTTGGTGTTAGTTGGATGTAGAATTTAAATACTGTGTACAAGAATAAACCTAAACTTTCAAACATAATTTGGTACATGTGATTGGTACATCAGTCTTTATCTTACTCTGTACCAGTGTTTGTCGAGATAGATTAGAAAGACCAGCCTAGCCACACCTAGACTTCATGTACAAATTAGAAATAGTCCCCTGTAGGACTCAATAAATCCCAACAGAAAGTCTTTCAAAATTAAGACTGTAGTTTGAAATGTTAAAGATGATAAATCTTAAATGTAAGCATCAAACAAAAATCTCACAAAATGTACATGTAATGAAATATAATAATCTTCTAGTTTAAATGACCTCATAACTGACTAAAATCTTGGCCTGTTAAGTTGAAGACAACGCTGATATACTGGCAGGAATTGAAGAAAGACACAAAGATCAAATTATCTCTGATTATCTTTGCTTTATTTTAGTTTTCATAGCCATCTGCTGCCACCTAGCAGAAGAGTATTTAATTGTTCTGCCATTCATGATTTGACGAGCAAAGAAAAATTATATGCAATAAATAATAGCTTTCAGCCTACTGGCTGTCAGCGGAACCTCATACCCCAAAAACAGAAGCTAAAAGTTCTCCCCAACATGTTTAGCATCTTCTGTTATCTCCAGCCTAAGACCAAAATAATGAACCCAGTCTGCTATAGGGCGCTTAAGAGCTTTAGAGAGCTGCTTTAGAGTTGTTGATTTAAATTTCCTGGAGCATTTTGATTTGTTGGACACTCCTGTTGGTTATCCCCACTGTGAATAAAAGGGAAGTGTGGGCTGTGGTTTTATGAGCCTCTCTTTTCCTTTGGTGTTGGTTTTCATCAGGTCTGTGTCATTGTTTCAGCCCAGGCTTCCGTGTAACAAATGTTGGCGTCTATTCAGACTTGCTAGTTTTATTGCAACTGGACAGAAGAAACGAAGTGCATTGATTTCATGTCAAATAGATTTGGTTTCCAATGTGGCCATCGCTATCTTGGCCAAAAAAACCCTCCTAAATAATTTGGTTTCAACTATATTGTTTAACCTGAGGTTGGATCTGTGAAAGAACACATCGTCCTGCTAGATTAGAGTTCAGTCTCTTTACTGAAGATGCCTTCATCTGCCACATTTTTATCCTGACCTACCACTTGGTTTCTCTGTGTTTGTCTTTAGCATCACTGGTGGTGATTGAAATGAGTGAAATACACATTGGGTTATCCCTCTATTTTTGGTCAATTGTATGAAGTAACGATTTTCAAACATTAGAAAACTGTGACCAAAACACAGTGTTTAGTCTTTACCCATCTTAATAATGAACCTTACACACTGCAAGTTTAAGTTAGCAATACTCAAAGTGACCATCACTTATTGGAACTTTTTTCTAGAACCCAATTGAACATTTCAGAACTTTAAACTTCCTGCCTCCTCCCTCCAGTTGAACTGTAATATTTAGTGATGCCGTGAGCTCAGCATGAATAAAATCCAACCCAATAACAGGCAATTAAAGAGCGTGAGCATCTCTAACAGAAGGGAGTTGTTTAGGTGGGAGGGAGCAGAGAAGACGCCAGGGAGAAAGGGGCCATCTGGGATATCTTGATGCTGCCCACGCGCGCGGTCTTCCTCTCTCACTCCATCTTCTCCTTTCACTGATAATGGGCTACATGTCAGCATCACTTTAAGTCCAGGCTGCCGAGACAGTCGACTTTTAGCAGATTCGAACCGCACCCTTTACCAAAACTGTTGTGCTCACAAGTTCTGGGAGTCAGCTGGTTAAACAGGACTGAAATTGATAGGTTTTATTAACTCGGTGTAAACAGTGGTTAGTACAGGTGCCTGACTGCAAGACACCGATTCGAGTCGTGGTGCAGTCGAGACTTATCTTTGTCTTGGTTTGAATTTTGTCTTCACGTGCAAAATGTTGAAGATTCTAGTTATTTGACAGAAAAATCTTTTCTTAACAGTATGTAGAATACCATAGGTGTATATTTCAAAACACAAAAATAAACACATGAAGGTAGAAATTTGAATATGTTAAAATTAACGTACAACGTAAACATTATGCCAAATGTGAACATCAAGAAAAAAAGGTCATTTCAGATGAGTAGGTTGCCCTGTGCCACGCCCTAACCGTTGAGCCACATAAGAAGTGAAATCCATCCATCCGTCCGTTCTTTGCATCTATTTCTATCTGGTTATTCCGGAAGCATAATCTGATACAGACTCTTTTTTTTTTTCTCGCTCAGCAAAATCCATGACAGTGTGACCTTAGCTGTTGCTGAAAGGAGTGTTTGTGATTTCCTCTCACAGTGAACCGGTGCAGGCCAACTGTGTTCGATGGAGGAAGCTGTTCTCTTTCCCCTGCAAGATGAGCGCCAACGCAGGGACGGGCGTGCTGGACCCGTGTGTGTGTCGGGTATCGGTCAGGAAGGTACATCCTCACCCGCTACAAAACTTGTACAAAATATAGCAGCACTGCTGTTGTGCTGGATATAATTCCAACCAAGAGCCAGACAAGTCAGAACAGTACTGTAATCATTGTGTCGTTCTTATCAAAACAGTCAGACAGTGATCAGACTAACATTTCTGCTCTTCCCCTGCAGGAGTTGAAGGGTGGAAAGGCATATGCAAAGGTAAACTGATCACATACTCCTGCTACCCCACCCCCATACTTCGACACCACCTTCAGGTCACCTACATTTACAGTAATCATCCATATTGATGTAGAAAGCCCGTAGCAAACAGATGGCCCTCATTGCCTCAAGGTTAGCACAGTATGTCATGTGTTCTGACTCTGACACTTTTGCAGAGTTTCTGTCATTAACTGTTAGAACGACCTGAGCTTACATAACAACATTTTAAACCTAGTCTTATTAGCGGGTGTGATGTGTGCCGCCGTGTCGTTTATATCCAGAATTTGACTCATTCTCGACTGTCTGATGGATCTGTCTCCTAAAAGAGAAGAGAAGGCTCACCACCTTGTCATTTCTTCTCCTCCAGCTCGGTTTTGCTGATCTGAATTTAGCAGAGTTTGCTGGTTCAGGAAACACGACCCGCAGATGTCTGCTGGAAGGCTATGATACCAAAAATACCCGTCAGGACAACTCTATTCTCAAGGTAACACTGGGGCTGTGATCAAGCCTCTATAGCACCGAGATTTTACAGATTCTTTTTCTTGTAGCATGAATGATTTTTTTTGGTTTAGCTCATAAGCACGAGGACGTCATGTATTTCTTACTTTTTTTAAGGGTTTGAATATTTCTGTGGTAATATAGAAAGTAGTGCAAGTAAACCACAAAGCTGAAGATATCACCTTCCTGTTCTAGGTCGTCATCAGTACACAGCTTATGTCAGGAGATCCCTGCTTTAAAACGTAAGTTCCCAGACTACCATGAGGTAACAGAGATGAAGTGTGATGATTTGCAATTGAGATTTCTTTAGGTCTTGATCACTGAACTTCTGCTCTGTGTTACTTTAAAATTCATTTACACAATGAAATTAAAACAGCGCCTTCATTTGACATTTGTCCTCAGTCCTCCCTCTACAGCCACTGTGATAGGGATCCAGAGTGATGGAGAGAGTCTGCTGGAGGAGAGGAGAGGAGGAGACTCACAGAAAGGCTCTTCTGGTAAGACTGACCACGCCACATTGCCACATTACACTCCTCTGTTCTGCTTAGTCATGCCATCTGCGTCTCTGAACATTCACAGAGACTTGGTACTGAACCATTAGCCTCTGACATTTCTATGCTGAACCTCTGTTAGACCATGCACTTAAGTTATATTTTATGGTGGCTATGAACTGACAACAAACAAGATTTACAAAAGAGTCAACTCAAAGTTCAAGTGTCTCAAATACCTTCCTCTGATTTGTACTTTGTGGTGGTTGCTGTAAATAAACAGAGTTGGGTCGTGGAGCTTGAGTGGCAACAAACAGCAACTTAGCAGTGACAACACACATAAGACAGTAATATCAGCAGTGACTTATGCTCAAATAATTACAATCAGTTGATGCATTAGTTCTTAATTTCTTACCAAGAAGATGATGGCAGGATGAGTCTTATTTATTATGCAGTATTTATCAGGTCCTCGACACCCTGGTGTCTCCCAACCTTTTTGGGTCACCCCACCAGACAAAAATATATATACATAAGGAAAGTGAAAGTGAACTATTTGTCATTGTGAAACAGCACACCACTGCACATAACCAAATGTGACCTTTGCTTTTAACCCATCACCAAAGTGAACAGTGGGCAGCTTTAAGCGCCCGGGGAGCAGTGTGTGGGGACGGTGCCATACTCAGAGCACCTCAGTGGTAACTTGGCAGTTGGTGGACTCGAACCTTAACCACTAAGCCACCACTGCCCTGACATTCTAGTATATAATTCTGTACTGTACCAGTTTGAGCATCTCTTCATTACTCTCATCCTTAACACGCGCTCCTGTTTCACTGAACCACTCTTGTGCAAATACTCATCCTGCAGCTGTTCCATTTTATTACACGTGGGTCTCTTGTGTTTCACACACATGCACACCCCTCCTCTTTGTGTGTGTCCATATGTGAGCAAATCCACAGCCGGATGCTTCAGAGTGAAGAGCAACTCTTTCATGTATAATTTAAATTTGCCGTCTTCTAGATTAGCTGCAATCTGCTCCGACCCTGTGGGCTCTTCCATGGTTAAAAATAGTACATTTATAGTTGTGTGTGTTTGCATTTTTTTCTGCTGAAGACAATCTTCCCGTTACGAGTCGCAATGGTTTTGTGTAGCACGTGTTTTGTGTATGTGCTGTTTTTTGGTGAAAATACTACTTCAGATTTGTGGCTAATGTAGAGTAAAAATCTTTCTTTTAAAATTATCGAAAGAAATTTTATCTATTTGTTCTTTTTTTTTTTTACTGCTCTGAAAAATTACAAAGAGAAAAGTGACAATTTACTCTGTGTTTACACATTACAACAAACTGTTACTGGCCCTTCATCCCTGCTGTTGTCTTTGTCTCCTGTCATCTGACAGAAAGCCGGGAAGGCAAGTGCCCGGTTGTTCCCGATGAGTTCGGAGGCTGCGGTCACTCCCGGACATCCAGCTACGCCAGCCAACAGTCTAAACTTTCAGGTAGAATCGTCACACGTCTGAATTTTACTGCTATTACACCGATAAGTATGTCAGATAATATTTTACCGGCCAGTCTGGTGAAAAAAATCATTGCTAACGCCTAACACTTGCTCTTACTGAAGGAAGTCTGTGTAATTCAAAACTGAGAAACTAATCAAATGAGGAAAATTAAAATATAAGATAAAATGATTTCCTTGTGCCGCCGCACCTCAGCAGTTCAGAGCCGCAGCTCCATTTCCCATTACAGACAGATTGAATGTCTGTAATAAAAGATCCCAGGAAGTGAATAGCTGTATAAAGAGCTGATCTAAAGTATCTTTTCCTTTTAACGTCAAAAAGCTATTTCCCAACATGTTCATCTATATGAGTGTATTTGTATGTTGTGTGTGTGATGTTTTTGCAAAAGTAATGAAAAAATGTCCTTAACTTGACACAGACACTCACCATGTTGTTGAAACATTTTTACAGTTCAGACCAAATAGAGACAAATATAGAAATGTAGAAAGTTGACTTTCTGTAAATGGAGGGCGTAAACTAAAATAAATTTTAAAAAAAATACATATCTGTTTTAATAAATATTTTTTGACTAAGGATATGTTCTGGATTTTTCCAGTTCCAGGTAGAAGATAAGTTTATCTTTCGAAATTGGGCCAATCATTATTTTTCTTTTTTCCCAGGCTACAGCACGAGTCATTCACAGCATGGCAGAGTTCAGCCATCGCAGAAACCATTCAATAGGCAGTGCCTCCACAGGCATAGGCAGCATCCCAGAACCCAGTGAGGACAAAGAAAGAGAGTCCAGACTCTGTCCTGCACTGCCTGAACACCCGGCCCCAACCACCACCACCAACCCACACGGGACACCAGTACGAAGTGCATCGTCCTGTGAACGACTTAACAGGTGAGTCGTTGGCAAGTGAAAGAGCTGATAGTAATAAATAGATTCACAAAAACTAACTGCCTCTTGATATTGTCATACTGGTCATCTAACCGAAGTAAAATTAAATAAAAAAACATTCTAACCGAATGAGCAGAGGAGCAACAGGGAGCTTTTAGTGATTTTTTTTTTCTTCATAAAATCTGGGGCTAATGCATCCCGACTGATGTCATAAGGGGTTCCGACCAGATGTTCATCTCGTCCCTGGGACTTTGTTATTTTGGTAATTAACATGCAAATGTGAGCTTTATGTTCATAACATTCATAAAGTACACTGCATCTGAGAGTTATACTCTGGGTCTGACTTTTACCAAATGTTTTATAATGAATAATGCTATATCCTAAAATTGATTAAATAAATGTTTCCCTCTGAAATATCCATTGGACACTGCTAACAAATCAGATGGGAGATTCAAGTAATGTTTGTTTGCTTTTGAAGCTATTACAAGGACTCACAGTGATTCTCCTGTATTATCCTTATCAGACATCCAGTAAAACAAGACTCTATGGAGTCGCAGCTAAAGAGAATGGACGACACACGAGTGGATGCAGACGACGTGGTAGAAAAGATCCTTCAGAGTCAGGACTTCACACCCAGCCTTCTGGACTCCAGTGCTGAAGGTATTTGAACAAACAGACTAAGGTGTGTACAAGTATGGGCAGTGGTGGCTTAGTGATTAAGGAAGCTGATTTGGGTCCGGAACGCTTCAGGTTCGAGTCCACCAGCTGCCAAGTTACCACTGAGGTGCACTGAGCATCATGGCACCGTCCCCACACACTGCTCACCGGGCACTTAGAGCTGCCCACTTTAAAGCCAAGGTCACATTTGGTTGTGTGCAGTTTCACAATGACAAGTAGTTCACTTTCCTTTCCCTTCTTTAAAATATGTAACAGGCAGAAGTGTTGACTATAAGAGTTTCTATATAAAAAGTAAAACTAAAAACACAAAAACAGAAGGCATTGTTTATTTATATATTTATATTCATACTGCCGTCTCTTGACGCTTTTACCCTTTTACCCATTGTGTTACGCGGTATTTAACAGATTTCTGGAGCCCACACATCTTTGTACTTTAGGGAATGTGGCCTTTTCTGTCTCTGTGATGTCATCTCCTTCAAAGCTAGAAAAAGAATCCCGCTGTCAATACAGGATTATTTATAGATTGCCTAGCAACTGGCTGCTCCTCATAACAAAGATTTACAGAGAAGGATGGTGTTGCCATCATTATTCACTTAGAGTTACTGAAAATGCTTATTTTTCAGAGGAGGGCCTTCGTCTGTTCGTGGGGCCTGGAGGAAGTACGGCCCTCGGAAGCCACCATCTTCCCACCAGGTGAGAACATCAACAGTAAGAGTAGTGATCAGAGTCAAAGAGTCATAATAATAAAACACTATGTTATGGTACAGCAAAAGCGTTGCTGGCTGAAAAAACAAAATATAATTCTGAATGAAATTCTTACTTATAATCTGATATCCCGCTGACTTGTAATAAAGATGATAATAATGATGCCTTATATCCGGATCTTCAATATTTTCCTAAATTATCACCACTCACTGGCCCTGACAATTTTGGGAACGTTTGTAAAGGTACTCTCCCTGTGGTGATTCAGAGGAACTGCATGTCGGCAATTAGTGTTTGAGCCTTTCATGCAATACTGTGCAATATTCAAATGTTTTTTACATACTACCTCAGTGACAGATTCACTAAAGACACATATTCTTTTCCAAAGACAAAATGTTCTCCTTTGTCAATGTCATTTGTATTACTGTGATTTCTAAGTTCATCCTGTCTTGTGTCAATAGGGTCGGTGCAGGGGCGTACGAGCAGGTGGTGATCAAACGTTAAAAAGCTGCAGCCTGCCAGTAACAAACTCCTGCTGCTTACAGCCAAGAACTGGAAATTGCATTATTTACAGACAAAGAACATTATCAACAACTTTGTTACATTTATTCTGACCAAAATGATTTGCAGTCAATGTTATTGTGATAATGGTGAATATGTGCTTCAACCACCCTAAAACAGTGAAATCCCCGTCTTTAGTTCATATATGTAATTCTTGGCAATGCAGATATAAACATATTTTAGTAAATGTTTAAAAGCATACAAACAGTATGTGATAACACATGATGTGGCCTTTGAAAGATAAGCAGAAGATGCAGCTGTATGTTGGTGAGTTGCTGGAACAGTGCTCACAAGTTTTCACATCAAATATGGTATATGTTCCTCAGAGCCGTAAACTTATAGTGAAGTCAACAGCAGAATTAAACGCTTCAAATGCTCAGTCATATCAACTTTAATTACTGCAGCGCCTGACCGTTCGGCGAGTGTTTCACATTACAACAGTGCCCCCTAGTGCTCACAGCAGCTATGTCAGTATTTTCCAGTTTTAACTTTACAGGCAGAAGCAGGCAGCATCAAACCTTACGTCTTATGAATATATATGAAAAAGATTACTGTTAGTACTGTTATTCTATCAATGTGTGAAAGATCTCCATTAAATAGGAGTCTGTCATCCATTTATTACATTCCTGTAGTCATAGGTCTTTATATAAAATATTGGCCTATAAGCTGCAATTGATGGTGAAAAGTTAGATTATTTTACTACAGGTATTTGGTGTGAGACCTCTAAAATGTGTGAATGTTGACTCTGTGTATGGAGTGTTTGTAGCAATTGGTTAAAAAAAAAAATCAGTATTGACTTACACTAGGTACCTTGTTGTTTTAAGTGACCACGGGTGATCTCTATGGTAAAAAAGCGCTTTGTTGTTACTTTTTAGGAGAAAAATGGGAAAAGTTTCTATTTTCCTATTTGCAGGTGTCTCTGCTCTTACTTGTTCTTAGCTGCCAATCATCCTTTTACAGAACCACACATTACCAGTCACTGTTTCAATCAAAACTCAAACTCCTCTAATGTCTCTATTGTAGTACAACTACAAACCAGATAGAAGGATCCATTAGTTCCTCAATTGAAATGAAGATTCCCCTGCGTACCACTAGAGGGAGCCCTCGTACAAATAGTGGTACACAGAGTATGCAATGCTTGCAAAATTGGCGCTACATTAAAGACACAAAAGTTGAGATGTTGTTAACTGAGAGATCTTTGCATAACCGGTATACCATGAATTAGGTGATGTGAAACCGCAGCAGAGAGTAACTACTCCGTCCTTAACATAGACTTCACACATGTCTGAACAATGCTCCATTAGTGTTTTAAGATGTCAGTGTTGATTTTTTAAGGTTTTAAAAGTCTGCATGATTTTGATGAAATGCATAATTCTCTTAGCAGTGCCGAGGTTAACAATTTACATTTTCCCTACTGTGTTACTGTGCCATCTGTTCAATTTTTTTTTTCATACAGGTAGCATATGGGAAATCATACTGTTATCATTATTTGCTGTTGAATGTCTGTCTGTCCAAATGTGAGTGTATAACTGTAAAATCTGTGTCTTCATCAAGTGATTGTATGTTTATTCTTCTGTGTTTTTTGAGCATGCTAATAGGTTCCATGTGCTAAAAGTCACACATTAAGGATATCATTGTCTTTTTGTGTTTTCTTTTCTCTTAAATTGCTGATATTGTGCCATATATTTGCCAACATGTTTTGTTTAAAGAAATGACATTCCCACTACATAGATGGTGTTTAGTGCTACTATGGCTATTTCTGTCTCTATAAATCAGTTCAACCTGTGTGACACAGGTATATTCATCTTGGTACCTAACATGTTGTTACAAACATGGTTGCTTCTTCTCTTCTGTGAAGCTGTTGTTATGTATAAAACTGTAAAATGTATTTTCCTGTAGCGTGACGTTCTGCGCTGTCCTAACACTGTCCAGTGGTTCCTGTCACAGATTTTGGTATTTTTTGACCAAACATTTGCTTCCTTAACAAGTGGACCGGATGCTTCAAATGTGTACCTTGCACTGAATTAAACTCTTCTAAAGCCCGCTTGTGTTCTTAACCTACCACACTACATAATACACTAGAGCAGTTGATATGGAACAGACTGCAACAGAAAAACAAGTAGAGCTGAGTTTTACCACATTATCCTGAACATAACTTTTATTTATGAAGCTCAAACGCAAACAAAAACTCAAAACTACAGAAATAAACAGCTTCTGGTTCTGCATTTGCTTCAAACATTTGAAATGAAACAGACCTAAAAAATGTTATATAGTTAACGTAATTACCCGCCTAATGCCTGTGCACAGTGCTGTGAAACCTCACTTTTTTAACAGTCAAAACAACATTTCAGAATGATGCCAGCTTCTTAAGTTAACGAGTGACCTACTTGTCTTGGACACCAAGTTGCAACCTCCTAATCAAACATTTGTTTCCCAGTCTTGCCCTTGCTCAGGAGTGCCGCAGTGCTCTCTGACCTCAGCATATCTGCTGTCTTCTAGGTCATCATGCTCTTCCTCCCCTTTTTCCTCAGATTCTTAAAATACAAATGAAAAAGTAGGGCTGTGTATTGGCAAGAATCTGGCGATATGATACATGAGCAGGAAACAATACAATATACTGCGATACTATAGGCAAAACAATATATTATTATTATATATTTTTTAACAATTTAATTGGCAGCGGAGTAACACACAATGCTGTTGCATGGTTGACATCAGGTTACTAAAATTAGAGAAGAAAATTAGAGAAGAAATAAAAGCAAAATAAAATGAACCAACGCCACAAATGTTAACTGTTAATTAAAAAAGCTGAGACAGTGCTGTAGAATATTGATAAGATATTGTGAAACAAAATATGATATTCAGTGTATTGATATTTTCTTAAGTTCCATGAGAACAACATTACATACTGCTGACATCTTTAACATACAGTATCTCTGACACCACACTCTTACATGTCATACATGTGTGTTAAACTGATGTGAAAGAGTTTAAAGACAACAGTACCTTCTTCCTGGAGCTGTATAAGCACAGCATCGCCATCCTGGCTAAATTTGACACTGGGCTCATCACTCAGCAGATGCCTGAGATTCTCCAGAGTTCCACTCAAGGCACCAACTTTGGGGCAGTGAGACCACAACAGGTTCAGAGGCACAGACAAAAACCCACTGGCACAGAAAAAAAGTCTCATGAAGTGACACAGATACAACAGAGTGGAATGTTTCTGACACAAAAGGTCACTTTGTTGGACAAACCTCTGATCTCTGAACAAATCTCTACTGAAGCCAAACTCTGGCTCTGCCACCTGTGCTCCACACACTGAAGAGATTGAATAATATTAGCCAAAACTGTATTTTATGTTAAAAATAATTTATTGTATCTAACTCTGAAAGTTTGTTTAAACATTTAATTAGTGAAGACAACAAAAGCACAAAGAGAGAGAAAACAATATTAAATAAATAACATGAATAAAACATCAAATAAACAACACAGGAAAGTTTTAACCATCTGATTCTCACCTGTCTGCTCTTCTCTCGCCTCCTCATGCTGCACTGAAAGACAATCATTTCCTCCTCTCTCGCCCTCATTCCATGTACAATCTTTGTCCCTCTCAAAGCTTTTGTCCGACTCCCATCTGCTCCTCAGTCTCTGTGTCCAACATAGAACCTCGCCGACCAGGACCCTGCGCAGGATGTTGTTATCTCTCATGCTTGGATATTTCACACTGTACATCTGAAAAGAAATACAGAATCAAAAGGGCGAAGAAAAAGAGTGCATTAAATATTGCTGTCTTTTTATTTTTGTAAATCTAGTTGCCATGTTGTGCGTCACAGATCTGCTTACCAGTGTGTATGGAAATTCATCCTCTGCATCGTCACAATAAAAGTTGTGACCACTTCTTCCTTTAAGGTTGTGAAATACACCAATCTGAGAGCAGAAGCCGACGCTCTCAAGCCCTGATGGTGCAGTGCCAACGCCTGTGAACTCCACCTCAAAACCAAACCTCAAACACACCTCAAGAGCCCTTAGGAGAGATGTTGATTTTAAAAAAGAAGTTAGTAAGTAATAGATAATTCTATAACCCTCCGCCCAAAAATGTTAGAATCACTGTTTTATACCATGATTGGAACTCAGCTCTGGTCCACTCAAATTTGTGATCACTGTGCCGAAACCCTGACAGTCCAGGGAGAAGTGGGTTGAATTCAGAGTTTGGTGTGCTGATAATGACAGCCGCTGGGTTCATGAAACCAAAAACCACCTCAGAGAAACACTGCACATCATCAGGAGTGAGGTGCTCAATGCTGCAGAACACCAGGAAGGAATCATAGTGAATAAACATGAGATTACATGGAAAGTGATATGACTAAATTAAAAAAAATAAAGAAATGTAAATAAAGAAAAAAAGAACAAAAAAAAGAGGAGCCAGACTGTGTTTTACTCTTACAGGCCTGGACTGAAACACAGGAAAGATTATGTCTAAGTTTAGGACAAGGTTCCATTGGTTCGATCAACAACCACTTACAGCTCTATACTGGTGACCAGATCAAACCCTCTGAGCCGGGCATCTCTCTGTGTCACTGAGCCTTGGTACAGCTCAATGCTGAGCTGGTCATCAATGGGCTGAAGGTAGTCAGCTGGCATCGGAGCTAATCCATGCCTAAAAGAAGAAAGAGGAATTCACCTCTTAAGAAACATGTTTTTTTTAACTTCAAATAGGCATGCTTATATTACAAATACACACATTACACATCAATACCTGTAGAAAAAGTCTGATATTAAACACATATTATGGATAAATAAAATAATATATATTTAGGGCGTCGAAGGCAGAAAGCGGAGAGTCCTGGGTTCTGACTTCTTTTCCCCAATTTTTGTTCTAAAACTAAAATTAACTTACTTGGATTTATCCCATTATGGGGATTTTTTCCCCTGTATTTTTATTTTTTAATTCTTTGATGAAATACCTGGGAAACAAAGGAATAAGCGGTAGATGAAATAATATGACTAATTTGATTCATTTAAACTAGTGCAAACAAAATCATTCATTAGTTATTCGACTAAGAAAATAAAGTTAAAAAATGTTGTAAAATGTAATGTTGTAAAAATGTAAAAAATGTGGAACTACTGAATATAAAAATAAATTTTAAAAAAGACCAATTACAGTACACCTAAGAATCTTTTGGAAAGGGATTGTTAGTAAACTCCGAATGCTGGCGAATAAACTAAAACAATACACTTTATTGATAACATTGTAATATATTACATTACAATTTAATAAAAATATTATATAAAGAATATAATTGTAGTCTAAAGATATATAAATTTTTTAACTAATATCTGTTTCGTAAAAAAGTCTAGACTAAACAAAACACATATAATTCGGAGAATAATTCGGTAAGGAGCCAACTGTAACGAATGAAGTTACAATAAAATAAAAGTTACAACTTTTCTTCTTATTCAAATACAAACCTACATTTTTTTCTTGACTCGGGTGCCATTAACGTCCACTCCAACCAGAAGGTCAATTTCACGGTGAAACCACTTCAGCTTTTTCAGCAGTTCACACTGACCACACCCCAGGTCTACCACCTGAGCGCAGAATACATTATTTATTTATTGAAAATTATTGATTAATTTATTTTATCATTCAACCGAGAAAAAAGTCTACAGGACGCGACATTTTCAACCGAAATACAGCGGTCACGGTGAATATTCAAAAAACCCTGCCATTGGTATTGTACCAATTTAGCTTTCGTTAGCTTCCACTGGTACCGCAAAACTTAGGTATAGGCATTTAAGTAGAATTCACAGCAACACTTAATTAAACATTTAAGTTATTGTTGCAAATACACACATTGTTACCTTTTGGGGTTTGTGTTGTTTGACAAAGTCGACAACAAACTGGTGTCTCTGCCTGTGAAGCGGCGGTAGGAAAAGCGGTTCCATCTTTAATTTCCCATTAGCAAACAACCACACGGCCGCCAGCCGTTAGAGCGCGCTGTTCACAATCGTCAACGTTGAATCCAAACGACGCAGTGTATCCCGTTGTAAACTCAGTCACCGCTCGTAATTCTCAAAGTTTTATTTATAAAATCTGAACTTTTACTGGCAAGTTATGTGATATGCTTATTATTTATGATTTAAAAGGGCAAAACTTAGATTTATATTTAATTCAAATATTTATTAAATAGCTATGTTACTATGTGTACTTTCATATTAAACACCCAGTTTTTACTCAATTGAGCGTATCGTTTCAACTTTTTTATCCCATATTTGACAAAGTTTCATTTTACGTTTAAAATTACCTTTTATCCGCAAATTATGACCAGTCCTCATCATTTTTTTATTAATTATGTAGCACGTTGCCAATTGCACCTTTACCGTTTCTCTCAAATTTATTCTGTTGTATTTTGAGATGTATAATCATATACGTTTTCCCTTTTAATTGATGTTTGCATCTCAACATTTTCAGATTTAGACCCAATTTCTAACATTTAACATTTTATTTCTGTCTCAAAACTTGGACCTATTGCCTTTTAATTATCACTTTTAATAAACAGTTACCCATCCCCACACAAACACACAAGAGTCAGTTTTCAAGGATAGATGTTCGTATAGAGGGTTATTTTAATATTTTCAGATTTTTTTTAATTACTTTATTTCTTACAGATGAGAAGTCAGAGAAAATATACTGCTTGGTTTGAAAAATATTGGTTTATAAATTATCTTTATTTGTTTGCACTACTGTCTGTTAGTTTCACAATCATTCAGAAAAATCAAAAAAAAAAAAAAAAGCTAGCTCAAAAATAAAACAATTTGTGATAAATATAATTTCAGCAATACTTTGTAAGACAGCTATGAAGCCACATGTTGCTATGATATACCAGCCACAATTATGAGCATGTTTAAAACCTATAGCTAAAAAGATTTAAAAGCTTTAAATTTAAAGGTTTCTTTTTCTCAGATTTGATCATAATTTATTTTTGACATGTAAGACAGGCTCCCACGGAAGAATTCTCTTGTACCTTTGCAGTTGTAATCACTTTATTTTTATAGTTTCCCTATTAAAGGCGGAACAGTTAAGAACTCTTTTCTGGGTGCTAAAAGGTGGAGAAGACAAACATACAATAAAACCAGCTTGATGTCATTGCTTCTGAGTCCAGTGTGGATTTAAACTGGAGTGTGGATCTGCATGGTATTTCAGTAGGGGTCACCTGTGGTTTGGCATTCTGGTGGCGTATAGTCGCTTTGTTCCAAAGCATTTTTGGCTGCGACTCTAAAGCAGTAGGTAGTATCTGGCTTGAGATCAGTCTCTGTGTGAGAAGTACCTACCACGGTTTTCACTATCAGCAATTGATTATGATGTCGTGCTTTGTGCTGCTCTTCAAAGACAACTACGTACTCAGTTGCACCATTCACCTTTTTCCATTTGGTGTGCATTGAGACTTGACTTACGCTCACTGTCACATCTTGCGGAACTTTAAGACCTAAAAAAAAGGAGGAAAGTAGGAAAAAGAACAGTGTTCAGCGATGGATTTGTTCATGTTTCCTTGTTCTTTTGCTCACCCTTAATGTCTTTTGTACTTACAGATCTTATAACCAATCTTAATATCACACACATTTAAGAATAATATCTAAAAAGAAACCTCTAGTAGTTTGAATATCACTTTAATAACACGTCACCATGAAGTTACCTCTTCTGAAGTTGTTTAGGAAAATATTATTCCTCAAATCCCTCTTTCTGCGCATATCCACTGGCCCTAAGGTAAATGAGACACAGTGTTTAAGAAACATGAAAATTCAAATACAAAAAGTGGTTGCCAAATATTTTCATAAATATGAAATAAACACAATGCTGACTTAAATCATTGGCTGATTCAAAGATAAGAGCTTTTGCAGTGACTCACCAATAATCATTGAGTTGGGGTCACTCTCCCCCACATCATTGCTGGCTGTCACTTCAGCAGCACTAGGGTTGAAGCTAGGCAGCCAGCAGGAGAGCTCCGTGGTCTCACAAAGCTTGGTGCGTTCTTCTCCCTCTAAACCGTAGACAGTGTACTGGGTGGCTAGGATTGAGGCCTCCCAGAACACGACAGCAGATGATGCATTGCCACTATATTGGACATTCTGTGGTGGACAAGGCTCTGCAAAGAAAGTGTTAAAATCCGTTAGAGAGGGAAGCATTTTGTTTGAGGGAGAAAATCTTGTGCCTTTAAGTAAGGGCAAAAGCTGCTTCTCTTTATCGTCTTCATAGTTTTTTTGTTGGTGACATTTAATTTGTCTCAGGAGGTATTTTTAGTTTATCGCAGCTTTGAGTCACAAATCTAGCCCTCTGGGACAAACTAATAAAACAACTAATAAAAGTTTTATATATTTTATATAAAAAAAACGTATATTCTGGGAAATATTGAAGATGTATTTACAATAGATGTGACCTGGAAGTGGAAAATGTGGAAACAGTTGTAGGAATTAATTTCTGTATTACACTAGATTAAATAAATAGATTAAATAAACAGCAACACATTTCTAAATGGTAACAATAAAGGTTTTTGTGTTTTCTATCTGGAAACTAAAATGCAAAAAAAATTGCATGTAAAAAGGTCACCTAAATCAGTTATAGCTGAATGAAGCAGGGATAAACAGTATGATAAATTTACCTGAGGTTCCCTCTATGGTACTGGAGGGTGGACCTTCTCCAGCAGAGTTTCTGGCCCTTACAGTAAGCATAAATGCTGTGCTGCAAGGGATGGGAAACTCAAAGTATTTCCTTGTCAGCCAGTAGCCGGAGACCTCCATCAAGGTCTCGTGGCTGTTTCCGATTCGACCTGTTAACTGTGCTTGAAACTCAACATCCGTGCAATTAACGTCGTTCCATGATGACATGGCCCAATAGTCGCCTTCACTCTTTTGCATCTTGACTTTCACCTCAGTGGGAGGACATGGAACTGAGAAGGGAAGAGATGGTGTTTGCACTTAACGGTACTTATTCTTCATAATGATGTGTGTTAATAAAGAACAGTTGATGACAGTTGATTTTCCATGCTTTAATGTCTACCTGCTCCTTCCTCCAGAGATTCACTTGATGAGCTGTTGCAAATTCCATTGGAGGATTCAGCGGAGAAAGTGTACGTTTCACCACACTCCAGGTCTTCAAAGGTGCAGGTAGGAGTAGAGGATTCACAGTAGAGCGGGTCACCATTTGTAGGTTGGGCAACGGCATGGTAATTCACAGCGCCCTCGCTTGGATTCCATGAGAGGATGGCAGATGTGCTCTCACAATTGTAATACACCATTAAACCAGTAGGTGGACACGGTGCTGTAAAATAAGTTATGTCACAGAATTATGCCAGTAGAGGAACATTTAAAAAGCCCACATTTTCACCATTGGAAAACTCTCTTACATACACCAACTTTTACCACACCAGATACACCAGACTTTCAAGAGTGCAGGAAAAGAAGAGCTACAAAAGGTATCTTTTGCATCAAAATTGTACCTGTGGTGAAGGTAGAAAGGCTGGGCATGCTGGTGCAGTTGTCGCCAGTGGCAGTAATAGTTAACCCATAGTCTTGGCCACAGTGTAGATCAGTGAAGGTGCAAGTGCTTTCTGTGTTTGTGCAATTGAAGACATTTCCCTGTCCGTCTATGGCTGTTAGTTCGTACAACGTGGCCACAAGAGATGGTGCCCATGTGACCACAACACCTTCACCCTCACATACTTGTTTCACGCTCACATCAGACGGCACACATGGCACTAAAAGTACACAGAATATTTTATTGGGTGTTGTGTTTTAGTCAAACATTTAACTCATGTACTGCATAGCGAAGGGAATATACCACTCAAGTGGAAGGAGTGAAATACCTGTTTTGATCTTCTTTGGTGGACTTCTGAGGTTGCTACACCTGTTTGAAGAGGCCGATACTATGACGCTGTATTCCATGCCGCAGAACATATTCGGAAGTATACATGTGTCAGCTGTGCTGTTGCAGTATGTGAAGTCATGGTTGGTGTCCTCGGCAGACACCACAAAGACAGTTGAGTCCTCGGTATTCTCCCATCGAACAAGGATGGTGTCAATTGTACAATGTGCCTCTGCATGGATTTCTGATAGAGCACAAGGACCTGAGGAAATCGACCACATATGGTTAGGAACTAATTTTAAAAAGCTTTTATCTTTTTTCACATGTGTATGTTTGTAAGCACTAAGAAAATAATGTTGCTTTCCCTTAAATGTGGGAAACTTCCTATTTGTAAAAAAAAAAGAGTTTGTAAAAATGTTATCAAGACTGGCCTGCATGTGTTTTCTTTTTAAATACCTGTCACTAGCTGAAAGGTGCTTTTGCTATTACTCTGGCAGTGATCATGGAACGCAGTTACACTGAAGTTGTACCGTGTCCCACACTTCAGATCTGGGATCTCACAGCTTGAGCCAGTGGTATTGCAACCAGAGGTGTGTCCATTTGCAGCTTGAGCAATGCCTTGATAGGAAAGAGCTCCTTCTCCGGTTGTCCATGCCACAAAGGCAGCATTTGTAACGCAGTCCAGATTTCCATTAGCATTAACTGGTGGACATGGAGCTACAAAGATTAAAGACGGAGATGAATAAGAAGGCAGGCAACAACTTATTGCATCCTAAAAAATACTGTATCAACTGAAGCAAAAAGTTGACATATTTTTCAGCAGTAGCATTTAGCCAATTAGCTTTATAAAATGACAAAACAGATACTATAAAGACAGATTGACATTTTCTACATTTCTACCTTTCCTCACAACACTAAGAGCATCACTGTTTTTTTCCCTTCAGCATTAGTAGTTTACTTTACCTGAGTACGATGATACCATTGTACTCGGCTGACTCTCACAGTCGTCTCTTATAGCCAGAACAGTGATTTCGTACTGTTGTCCACATGGTAAACTGCTCAAAGTACAAGAAGTACCGGTTGAGTTACAGTAGAGTCTAGCTCCAGAATTGCTGATAGCCAATACATGGAAGTAATCAACATCAGGGTTGGCATCCCAGGAGATGGTCGTGGTTGCTTCCGCACACATTTCATTGACAGTTACACCTTGTGGCGCACAGGGGGCTGAGGATGAAAAAGACCAAGAATATTGGGTTAGATTAATTCTGGGCATTAGAAATAGTCTTATTTAAAAGCCAACATTTACATTTTAAAAGAAAAAAAAGTATCTCCAGCACCTGTCTGTACGTGAGACACGGTGCTCTCCACACTTGAACAAGAATCATCCTGGGCCAAGACTGTCACACCGTAAGTCTGTCCGCACTGCAGGTCACTCAGATCACAGTAGGTTTCTGTGTTGTTACATTCAACCTGGTGACTTCCATCTGCAGTGACTCCCACTGTGAGATAGGACACTGCCCCACTGGCTTGTTCCCATGTGACTGACACAGTGTTTGACATACACTGTAGAGAAGTCTTGACACTAGTGGGTGTGCAAGGTACTGTGAAGGGAGAGAGAGAGGGAGGGAGGGAGAGAGGGGGGGAGGGAGGGAGAGAGGGGGGGAGGGAGGGAGAGAGGGGGGGAGGGAGGGAGAGAGGGGGGGAGGGAGGGAGAGAGGGGGGGAGGGAGGGAGAGAGGGGGGGAGGGAGGGAGAGAGGGGGGGAGGGAGGGAGGGAGAGAAAGAGAGAGAGGAGAGGGACATACGTTTCAAATTGTAATAGTATTAATTTAGCACAACAAATTAGATAAAATTAACTACACAACAATGCTATTTGCTGTACTTATTACTGTTATTTTATTTATTAACAGAAATTGGACCTTATCATTCCGCTACACTCAGTTAAATGCCTGTTGTCTACTTAAGCCAACAATGTTTCAGCCCATAGTAATAATGCACAAGGAAACTTCGTCAACTTAGAGACCTAAAGATCTCACTATCTTTTTTTGTTTTGTTTTTTTCTTATGCACACCTGACTGCAGCTGGAGGTAGGCATGGCTGTTGTCACACTCTCCATTCCGGGCTGACACTGTCAGGTCATAGAGTTGACCACAATGGAGAGGGTGCAGTTGACAGCTGTCCTGATCGCTCTGACACAGAGTCATGTGACCATCGGATCCAAAGGCTTGCACTGAATATAAGAACACTTGCTCTGCCTCTTCCCATGACACAACTCCTGTGTCATTGCTGCAGACCATCACTGCTTCAACCTGCTGCGCTACACAAGGCACTGTACAAAAGCACATAGAAATTGCAGTCACAGATGTGTTTATCAATAAGCCATGCCTCGTGGCACAGATTAGTATTAAACGTGAGCCATTATTATGATACAAAAAATAGATATATTTTACATGAACTAATCTCCACAGCAGAGCTGCTCCCACTTATACAAGTGTCGTCTGAGGCGCTAACAGTGATAGAGTAAGTGAGGCCACACAACAAGTCCTGGAATGTGCATGTTGTCTCAGTGCTGTTGCAAGTTGAGGCATAGCCAGCGTTTCCTTGGGCAAATACGTCATATACAATTGCCCCAAGGCTGGGTTCCCAAGAAACTGTGACTGATCCAGACTCACAATCCAAGTTGGCATCAACATTCTGTGCTACACAAGGAACTGGAAAAACACAAAGAGAAACGTAGATGAGAAACATTAACAATAAAAGACCGACAATTGGAAAAAACGTGGAGAAAACTGGTTTCTACCTGATTGCAGCTGTATGGTGTCACTTTTCGACACATTGCACATTTCATTCGTGGAAATCACGCTGATGCTGTAGGTGCACCCACACATAAGGTCACTAAAGGAGCAGGTGCCTGAGCTGCTTTCACAGCCAGTTTCGTGTCCATCCATGCACAGTGCCTGGACCATGTAGGAGTCAGCTCCCAAAGACGACTGCCACTGGACATTGGCCGTGTTCGTGAAGCACAGCAATGAAGCCTCAACATTGGTAGGAGGACAAGGCACTGATGGAAAGAATGAGAGACTTGTCACCGATGTGGATTATGGAAATAAAATTATCGTATAAGTATACTGTGTAGTAATTTTACAAAAAATATGAAAAAAAATTCCGACCTTTGTAGCGTAATTGTTTGTCAAAATGTCTTATGGAATGCAATTAAATACCCAATAATATACTGACCACTAAGAAAAATAAACTACCGTTATACCATGGTGCATGTAGAAACCTGACAACCTGATGTTCTTATAGTTCTCAACTAGAGCATTTAAAAATGCAGATAGATGAATAGTTTAGACAGACAGACAGACAGATGCTCACCTGATTCCACCTGTAATGTGGAGCTTGGCTGACTGTCACACTGGCCATTAGAGGAAACAACAATAACATTATATATCTGTCCACACTGCAGATTCTTCAGTTCACAGTTGGTAATATTGGAGGTGCAGGTGGAAGCGTGGCCATCAGAAGACCGAGCTGTGGCCTTGTACTCCACAGCACTCTCTATGAAGGACCATTCAAAGAGGGCTGAGTTGGTGAAGCAGTCCAGGACCAGTAAGCCACCAAGTGGTGTACAGGGAACTGAGTGACAGAGGGAAAAAAAGATGACTCAATGACTCATTCTAAGTACTTGCAATTGAAAAATATGAAACTCTGTTAGGGATTAGTTACCTGACAAGAATGGTGAAGCTGGACTGGGCAAACTAGAGCAGATATTATCTAGAGCCACAACCTGGACAAAATATTGAAGCCCGCAGTTCAAGTTGCTCAAAGAACACTGAAGGTCTGTGGTCTCACAGTAGGACACAAGTCCATTTGTGGTCTGAGCCATCACATTGTAGGATAAGGCTCCGTCACTAGCACTCCAAGACACCAGGGCTTCATTTTTGGTGCAGTCCATGCTAATATCCACATTAGTGGGAATACAAGGCACTGGAGGGAGGCAGTGATCAATAGGAGTATATTTTAGGAACATTGTGATTACAGAAATTAGGGAGACAGAACTACACTAACCAAAATATATTTTAATCTGAGAGAAAGATAACCCACCTGACTGCAGAGACCTGGCCTCACTGGCATCAGAAGTACACTGATGGTCAGAGGCAACGACAGTGAGTGTGTGGGTCCGTCCACAGTTCAAGTTAGCTATGCCACACTCCTGGCCTTCAGAAAAGCAACTTTTAGAGATGCCATCTTCTAGATGAACTGTGGCGGTGTAAAAATCAGCCCCAGCTGAACTCATCCAGGACACCAAAGCAATGTTGGAGACACAGTTCAAAAAGCTGGTGACACCAGTGGGGGCGCAAGGGACTAGGGAGAAAATAAAGTAAATTGTCAAATTATGACAAAGCCAAAGCAAAAAGTGCTGTTCTGTGAGTCCTGGAGAGTTCAGTTAGTAGGAGAAAACAAGACAATCATGTCCTGACATAGTCATAAATGTACCTGAATTAAGAGTTGCAGGCTGACTGGGTAGACTTGTACACTCAGAGTCCATTGCAGCAACAGACAGGAAATACTCCTGACCGCACAGGAACTCTGAAATGAAGGTCCAGGTGTCATTGGTGGAGACTTGCACCACGTGGCCACTGGTGGTCTCTGCAGTCACAATGTAGCTCTCTGCAGTTTCACTTGCAGACCATGACAGTGACCCCACCTAACCAAACAGATAAGAGAAATTATACTTAAATGTTTTTTTAGAGTTAACTTTAAATATAAGGTACTCATTTTTTATCAACCTTGGTGGTGCAGTTCAGAGACGATACCACATCCTGGGGTATGCATGGTGCTGAAACGGAGGACAGATATTTAGTTAAGATTAAGTATTTAAATTCTCAGTGATAATTGGTCTGTTTACTGTTAAATTATTAGTTTATAAGCTACATTTGTGAAAGGTTTTGACAGTGTTACATTCATTTTTAACTTAACCTATTCAAATTATATTATTGATTTCTAAACTTCCATTTTGTCCTTAACACTTTTACTTTTTAGCACATTTCCTGCTACATTTGTCTTACCCATTCGTATTGTAGTGGTTTGACTAGGTTCACTAAGGCACACCCCATCTCTGGCAACAACATGAACAGTGTATACATCTCCACAGTGCAAATCATCCCAACTGCAGGTGGTGATGTCTGTGAGACATTCATGAGAATGTCCGTCCTCTCCTACTGCAATGGCTTTGTAGGCCTCTGCTCCATCACTGGCTGACCAGCTGACTAAGCCAAGATTGTTCTCACAGTGGGTGAAACTCTCCACATTCCCTGGGATACAGGGGCCTGAGGACAAGTAGAATTGCTCAAAGACACAATGTCCCTATAATTATTTATTTCAAGTAAACACAATTTAAAAAAAAACATACCAGTCTTGAATTCTGCAGACAGGCTCACACTGCTGTCACATCGATCGTCCTGTGCCGTCACTGTGAAGGTATACAGTTGTCCACAGGGCAGCTCGGCTTCGAGCAGTGTCTCGTTGGTTTGATAAGATATGACATATCCCAGATTACCGATGGCCATCACCTCATAAACCAATGCTCCTTCAGCTGGTGACCAATTCAACATCACTGTGTCACTGTGACAAGAGCCGGTCGCTATCAAGTCAGTTGGAGTACAGGGTTCTGGTGGAAGATGGTTCAACAGCAAAAGTCACATGGCCATAGTCAACAATGTTGGGGTCAGAAAAATATTTTTAAAAATTATTATTTTAATTAACATCAATTGCTTTCCTTATATTTCAAGTAAATACTGTATAGAAAATATCCCTAACTAGGTATGTTGCTATAACTGAGTTAGAACTATACTTAAACTGTGACAGGTGGAGGAAAGATTGTCTTCTTCATAGTGCGTGAAACACCAAATGAATGACCCTGCAATTTTGAAAATTGTAATGACTGCACTCCCAATACCTGTGTTTATCTCCAAAGTGGTGCTAGTTTCACCAAAGCACCCGTTATTAAATGCTGTGACAGAGAATTCATAGATTTCCCCACAGTGCAGGTTTGAGAACTGGCAGGTAGAAGTGGTGGTGTTGCACTCCAGGGTTTCATGGATGCAGGTTGCAGTGGCAATGTAAAGCTCAACCCCATCCATTTCTTCCCAGTGCATGTCCGCAATATCTGCCCCACACTGTAGATCTACTTCCACATTTTCAGGTTGACAGTGACCTTAAAAAGGATAACAGAGTTTTATGTCATTGTGTGTATGATTAGTGTCATGGAATAAATAATAAAGTAAAATATATTTCTAACGTTATGTTTTAGTGCCAAGTAATAAGGAATCGATCGAGGACTTGATTATATATAATATATATTATATAAGTTATAATCAAATCACTTGTTGCTGCTCCACTTACGTGTTGTAAAGCTGCCACCAAACATCTCTATAGGGCAGAGGTCACTGATGACAGTGAGAGTGATTGTATAGGTCTGACCACACTCCAGGTCTGTGAGTTGACAGCTGAGCTCTTCTGTCTCACACATAGCAAGTAAGCCTCCATCAGACATGGCTGTCACCTTGTAGGACACAGCCCCCTCGGCCTCACTCCATGTAACAGTGACTGAATCATCGTTGCAGTTCAGGTCAAACTCAACATTTGCAGCCTCACATGGAGCTAAAAGAAATATTATGTTAAAGGCCATTCAGCACAGAAAGTCAGATACACTCAGGGGTCACATTGATGCATAAGGTAAGAGCTGTGTTATACCTTGATATTTTGTAACATATCAATATTTCTATTCTATTCTATATTTAAAATGACCTTACTGTACATAGGCCGCAAGTTAAATTTGATGAATGTGTGTGACAAATGTAGTCTTTCTGATTGGTCATGAATGCACAAAGAAAATATAGGGGGTAAGGCTGAAAGTACTGTGCTGCAATTAGACTGGGGAAAAGAATTTCAAAAATCAATGTTAATATACCAGTATCCAGGTTGAGTTGGGTAGAGGCTGTGCTGTTTAGTGTCTCTCCGACGGCAACGACAACGACGTAGTAAACAATTCCACAGTGAAGACCTTCTACATTGCAGTAGGTGTTCTCACTGTGACATGTCAGGTAGTGTCCATCACGTCCATTGAGGAGGACCATGTAGCCTATGGCACCAAAACTCTGCTCCCAAGTCACTGTTCCCATGTTGTTCTCACAGTTGACTTTGCCCTCCACATTGTTTGGTGGGCAAGGTTCTGCGAACAATAAGAATTGAGAGGCTGGTATGACGATGCAGATGTGACATGACATTTATACACTGGACTGGTTAACATTTTCTCACCTGTTATGATCACGTCTGAGACAGATGTGGACAGGCTTTCACACACGTTGTTGTTCGCAATCACTGATATATTGTACAGCTGGCCACATTGCAATCCAGGCAAGGCACAGTAGTTATCTTCATTGGTACAACTGACTTCACGACCCTCCACTGTGACCCCTTTCACTGTGTAAGACTCTGCACCGGCTACATGGTCCCACGTCACCTGACCTACACCCCAGCTGTATTCTGCGTTTATGTTTTGAGGAACACATGGCCCTGGAAAAAAGAACTGGGTCAGTATGTGGTAAAGGTAAATTCCTTTTACCTACAGTAGATTGGTTAATTGTTTTGAAGTGTTTCTTGTTCCACTCACCAGTCTTCAGCTTTCCTATCATGGTTGCGCTGCGTCTGCAGTCCTCTCCCAGAGCAGTGACAGTCACAGTGTAGCTCTCACCACACTGCAGGCCTTCTAACTCACAGTCAGTAGAGGCTGTGTCCACGGTGACATCATCCCCTGATGTGGGTGTGGCCGTTACCTGGTATGAAATTGCTCCATCACTCGGGAACCATGCAACTATGGCTGTTTGAGTGTAACAGTCAAAGTGTGCCATTATATTTCTGGGTGAACAGGGAACTGTGAGAAGGAGAGAAAATAGGTCATAATACCAAACCAGGATCACCTTGGACAATGTAAATAGTTTTGTTTTCCTCCTTTATTACACGAGGAGACTCCAATTTTTTGTAAATCTGTGTACATGTGTCCAGCTTTCCTACCTGGAAGGGCCTGAGATACAGGGGTAGGTGGACTTTCACAATATCCATCAGAGGAGACCACGACAGCACGGTAGATCTGACCACAGGCGATATTCGACAAAGAGCACGAGCCTACTTCTGTGCTATGACAGGATGTGGTCTGACCATCACTGTCCTGCACTATTGCAGTGTAAAGGTCAGCCCCTTCACTCTCAGAATAAGACACAACCAGAGTATTGGAGTCACAATCCACTTCTGCACTAATGCTTTCTGGGGTACAAGGTACTGTAAGGAAAAGGAAGAGATGCTCAGTCTATGTGAACCTCTGGTTAATTTGTTCCAAAATGTTACTTAATTCTGAATAATTCAACTTCTGGTGATTGATGTACGCTTCAACTGCTTCTGAATGTGTGGCAGATTCAGAAGCAGTTGAACCAGTAGAATCTTGTTCTATTCATCAGATCAGTAAACAATGACCTCCCGGGACAAAAATTGAAAGGAGAGGTCATTGAAAGATACAGAATTTGCTGGTACAGGGCAAAACAAACAAATTATGGCACAGTCAATGGTGATATATTGCATTACAGTTGAGGACAACATTTTTAGCTTGTACAAGACAACTTTTTGGATTAAGTATTTATGATATGATGTGCGAGCTCATACCCGTCTTGATGGTAACATTTTCACTTGGAAGGCTGTTGCAGTTTGGGTCCTCTACTCTTACTGTGGCCGTGTAGAGCTCTCCACAGTGCAGGTCCGTCAGCTCACAAGTGTTCTGGAAGGCTAGGCACACGTGCTCATGTCCATCAGCAGCTACTGCTGTCACTCTGTAGCGCTGACCACTCATGGTAGATTCCCAGGTCATGGTTGCCACATTGGTGCTGCAGCTCAGACTGGCTTGGAGGTCTTGTGGAATACATGGAGCTGAGAGACAGAGATACAGAAATACAACAAATTACTGGCTTTTCCACTGTAGGAGGTCACAGTACACGTGCTCCATATATTATTGTATACTTGTCTTTGTGACGATCCCTTCGCTCTGGGAACTGTTGCACACATGTCCCTCAACAGTAACATGAATGAAGTAGAATTCTCCACAAGGCAGATCTGAGATTTCACATGTGGTGTCAGATGTTGTGCAACAGGTAGTGACTCCATCCACTTGGTCCATCTCCTCCAGTGTGGCTGTGTATGACACAGCACCAGGGACTGGTGACCAGGAGATGCTGATTGAGGAGCTGGTGCAGCCCACTACGTTCCTCACATTCAAAGGAGCACATGGGGCTGTGGGAAGAAGAGTTCACACTGAGAGAGACGTTTTGTCTTATTCATTTCTTTGTGAGAACACTGGACCTGGTATTACTCCATTTTATTTAGCAACAGACAATGAGCAAGATACACTGCTGAGGTATTTAATTCATTCAGTTTATATTGCTTATGTCCAGATAACAAATTCCCTGCACAGTTTGCCAGCATAAACAGATAAACAAGCAAATAAACTCTCCTAATTTTTTTTGTTGCCAGCCATGTGTGTGCTGTACCTGTTTCTGTTGTGAAAGGATCACTGGCTGGACTGGAGCACTGCTGGTCACGTGCAATCATGGTGAAGGTAAATGCTTTGCTGCAAGGCAGTGGTGGAACAGAGCATGTTCTCTCTGACGTGGCATTACAATCAAAGCTCTGTAGTGTATTCCAGCTGTCCGTCATCATGACCACGTAGTCATCGGCCCCTGCAGCCTCCTCATATATCACCCATGCTGAGTTTGTCAGGCAGTCAATCTCAACGCTGGAAATACTGGGTGCACAAGGTGCTGCAAGTAAAGATTAGGAAGGTTAGCTGAAAATAAGGGAATTAGAATGAATTTCCAACAGGTACTCTGATCTAAAAGCAAAACCGCAATGACAGACAGATATGCTGTGTGTACGTGTGTGACTCTATATATACTTATATAAAAAGCTATAATTGAATGTTACCTGTCCTAATGGTTTGCGTGGCACTGTCTTTTCCCAGACATTCGCCTCTGGATGGTGTGATGGTGATATCGTACTCTGTCCCACAGTCCAGGGTGTCGAGATCACAGCCCCTAGCTGTGCCATCACAATTGTGTGCATTACCCATTTTATCAACAGCTGTAACCGTATACAGGACTCCATCCATGCTGTGATACCACATTACAGACAAAACTCCAGTGCTGCAGTTCAGCTGAGGTAGGAAAGTAGACTGAGGGCAAGGAGCTGAAAGGGAGAAGAAGAGGAGATGAAGTATGTTCAGTTATAAGCTAGATATCACACAGTACACAAAAAGACAGTGTCTTGCTCCAAATGACTAATCTAGTCATGGAGAGAGGGGTATCCTTTTGCATCCTGTTTCAATCTCTGCAGGTTGCCTCGGCCATAGCTACATAGTTAATGCAGTAGGATGTTGCCATGTGAGCAGCCGATGAGACCTCTGCAATAAGAGGCAGCTGAACAAATGTAATTAATGAAAGAGCCACTCAGCTGAGAATTTCAATACCAGAAAAATAAAGTAAAATCCTTTTTTAAAAATAAAAAATAGTGCTCCAACTATCACCTGGCGCTCTGCCTACCTGCATGAACATTTTCTGGAGGACTTGGTGCACTGTTGCAGGAGTTATACTCAGCCACCACAGTAACAGTGTATTGCAGATCACACTGCAAGTCACTCATTAGACAGTAATGCTCCTCTGAAGTGCAGAGGCTGGAGGTGCCTTCACTGCTGGAGAGTGTGGCGTGGAAGAGTTCAAAGTGACCAGTGGACTCCCATGTGACATTGAGGACATCAGACTGACAGTCAAGGCTGAGCTGTACATTCAGTGGCGCACAGGGAGCTATGGAAACAGAGAAACCAAAGAGTCACTGTGATGTCTTTTACCCACTAATAAACACTATTAGGTGCTTCATATTTAACTAAATTAACTTCAGATATTTTGGATCTATTCTAGGATTATTACAATGGCAGAGGGTAGCAAATATAACATGCTAATTATAAATATTTACTTTACTCACAACTTAGAAAGCTGAATCTAATATAAGATCTAACAGTAATGAAGTGAACATCAGGACTTACTTGATAAAGTAATTTTTAAATAACATTTTTTTAACAACTGTGTTAACAACT